AGGGGGACGTTCACTGCATCAACCAAATGCCCGGCGGAAGAGCTCCGTCTTGCAGGCCCTGTGGAACCAGAATTTGGGGGGGGGGGACGACCCAGCCTAGTATATAAACAGACCACAGACAGCTTAAAATAAAAGTTTCCGGTCTAAAATAGTGTTAAAAAATAAGCCCTATAATTAAAAGCCTGGGTGAACAGAAACATTTTGGCCTAGCGCCTAAAAGGCAATGTAGGGACCCGGTGAGCCTCAAGGAGAAGGGCATTCCACAAGAGAGGTGCCACTCCTGAAACAGGCCTGTCTCTGGTTGCCACCCATGTTGCCTCTGAAGGCGGAGGCGCAGAGAGCAGGGCTTATGACTCAAGTTGCGAGGCAGATCTCAACTGGTAGGCTGCACAGCAGGGGAAGAGGCAGTGCTTTTGACTACCTGGAGATGGCTTTAAAAATGTGTGACATTTTCTTTTTATGATGCTCATGTTTATCTTATGTGTTTTAATACCTAGTAAGCTGACTTGGGCCTGTTTTGAGGTAGAAAGGGTGTGGATGAAAATATACATGAAAAGAGTGTAGACCAGATGCTTCTATGTTAACGGGTCATGGTGGCAGGCCATTTGGATGGCTAGGAATTGAATTATTTAGGCCCCGGTCACACGAAGCATTAGGCATGCTAGAGAGACGGAAGATAGGCGGATTTTCCGGGCGCGATCTCACCGCCACATCTGGGAAGTGTAGAGCTCCCGTGGCGCACCCGAGGCTTCCCGCCGAAGATGTGGGGTAAAAAACTAGTACCTCGGAGGTACTAGTTTCCGGAAACCGCGGGGCAAGGGCGGGCATCTGATCGCGTTTCCGGTGGTAGTTCCGGCGCCTGCCCATGTCCCCTTGCAAAAAGGTTCCCCCCCCAAGTCTCCACGGATGACATTTCAGTTTTAAAAACAAAACACAACCCCGTTTGGCGCCCCGCTCCGCTTCTTTGCCGTATCATCTGATCGGCACCTCCCCCCTAACCACGGGAGCTGCACCGGACCTCAACCCTACGCCTGATCGCGCAGTCGCGCGTTAGTTTGCTACGGGGCAAACAGCCACACACACACACACCCGCATTTTCCTGCCCGTGTGGCCGAGGCCTTAGTATATTTACAGGGCAATCCTAAAAACACTTTCCTGGCAGTAAACGCCACTGCCTTTCTTCCCACACGGTGAGGACCCAAGGAAAGTAACAACAATAAACACAATACAATAAAAAAACCCCAGATAATTATAACAGATAAGCCGGGGCTAGGAAATAGGACATTGATCTGTCATCACTTCCTTGTCAAAGTGGCGCACTAAGAAACCTCCTAGATCAGGGGTGTCAAACATGCGGCCCGGGGGGCGGATCAGGCCCCCGGAGGGCTTCTATCAGTCCGGCAGTGGAACTGGCTGTCTTCTGCTTCTTCTTCCAGTTCTGCTGCTGCTGCATCATTGTAGCTTTGCAGCTTACAGATACACACCTGAACAGCATACTCAAGATTGCAACAGCACAGACATTTTGATGCAATAATTCAGAGCAAGAGGTGTCAGTTATCAGACACTGTTAAATAAACAAAATATTGCAAGAGTGCTAATGTTTTAAGCATGTTTTTATTTTAAGTTAAAAAAAACCTTTATGTTTGTGACCTTTATAAAGTTTATACCTCTGCTACCTGGCATTATATTTTATGACACACATGGCCTGGGCCAACAAGGTCTCATTTATGTCAGATCTGGCCCTCATAAGAAATGAGTTCGACACCCCAGTTCTAGGTGTTCTCTGTATGAGGAGAGGCTTGTGGTAGGATTACCAACTTTTAAACTGGTACCTGTAGGTCTCCCTTTAATATTACTTGAATCTGCAGTGATTATCAGGCAATGGTATTTATTTCCATGCCATGATAAGCTTCAACTACCCAATTTTTATAAATTAAGCCTCTATTAAAGGGACAGGCCAGTGTCATACCAAGGGTGGGGTGATAGGAGTGGTCTGCTCCGGGTGCAAGCAATTAGGAGGTGCTTATTCTAGAATAAGGGAGCCGCGGGGATCATGGCCTGAAAAAACCACCCCTTTCCCCCATTGAGACACCAGCAAGGACTTGCCCATCTAGAAAACACAAACTGTCCCTCCTGTTTTGATCCGGTTTTCTCTCCCCTTGATATTCTTTTTTTAAATCCTGCCCTTCTTTGGGGAAACTCTGGGGGTTGGACAGAGCTTGGGAGACATCCCCACTGTCTCTCTGCACCAGGTGCTCAACGGGTCTCCCTTACCAAATCTCAAACACATTCCCTGCCTTTTGTAAAAAAAAAAAATCCAGTCAGAGCTTTCTCTCTCTCCTTCCTCTTCTGATGTATGTCCCCTCCTTTCTAATGGCCCCCATCCTTTGCGTGTTGACTCGCAAGTAAGCCCCACTGTGTGACCACACACCCCCGGTGCTCCGGATGTCAAATACGCTAGGTACACCACTGTTGTGGTTCCTTCCCTCTTAATTGTGTGGCTTCCCCACTGTAGCAGCAACTGAGCTTTCCCATGGTAGATTTCCCTGCATATTCCCTGCCTTAGTCCCACAGCCACCATTCCCCCTTGGCCAATGATGGGTGGGTGGGTTCTGTTTGTTTGTTTTTTAGTTGACATATCATTATAGTGTTATAACAATCTGTCACAATCTTTGAAGTCACAGCTTTACTTTAAAACAAAAGGTAAGTCTCTGGCACCTTTCATTATGGAGATACAAGGGGAAAGGCAAAGAGACTTTTTTTTAAATGAAAGCTCGGAGTTCAGAGACCTGACAGACAGGTTGTTATAATGTTATAACAATGAGTCAATTGCCAAGATGTTTTTTTTTAATGGTGGTGGATGGGAAATGGCTGTTGCAGGGGACTGAGACAGGGAAAATGGCAATGATACAGGCAGGACCGGGAAGATACCGGCTTTTCTGTCCACGTGGGTGCCCCCCGGACATTGCCATGATCATTCCTAAAAGATCACAGCAAAGCAGGGTTGGGGAGGATCAGATAAAAGATGGAGGAAACCCAGGAGGTCCATGGAAGCACCAATAGCACCAATAGCATCCAAAACAGGGAAAACAGCCTATGCGGAAGTGACCCTAGTTACTGACCAAGGGCTGTTTTCCCAGTGACCAGAACACATTTCTGTGTTCCTTGTCACACCACAACCCAGAGATGTGCTCCAGCGTCCCTTGCTCATCAGCTGTGCCCCCTTTACCCCCAACAACCAAAAGGAGGTCAAAAAAGGCTCAGAGGTTCGTATCCCGGTCCCCCCACATCCTCAGCTGTTTTGTTCTGGAGGCATTTTGTTCTCCACAACATCCTCAGCCATTTTGTTCTGTAATGAAGTTGGGAGCAGGGCATGAGCCAAAGGTCCAGCTTAAACCCTTCAGAGGCCTCTGCTTTGATTGGAATGCTCCACTGGCAAAATAATTAAATTTCATCTCACATCCAGGGGTGAAAATAACTTCATTTTTTCATTTTTTGTTTTACTGACGCTAGCTCAGAGGGCTTGAAGCAGATAACAAGAGGTTAGCAATTTAGCTGCTTTCTTACCAGTACTCCGTACTGGCCTGTGCCCGCTTACTTTCACCCCTGCCCATAACCTTCTATCATTATAGTGTTATAACAATCTGTCACAATCTTTGAAGTCACAGCTTTACTTTAAAACAAAAGGTAAGTCTCTGGCACCTTTCATTATGGAGATACAAGGGGAAAGGCAAAGAGACTTTTTTTAAAAAAATGAAAGCTCGGAATTCAGAGACCTGACAGACAGGTTGTTGTAATGTTATAACAATGAGTCAGTTGCAAAGATGGCTTTTTTTAATGGTGGTGGATGGGAAATGGCTGTTGCAGGGGACTGAGACAGGGAAAATGGCAATGATACAGGCAGGACCGGGAAGATACCGGCTTTTCTGTCCACGTGGGTGCCCCCCGGACATTGCCATGATCATTCCTAAAAGATCACAGCAAAGCAGGGTTGGGGAGGATCAGATAAAAGATGGAGGAAACCCAGGAGGTCCATGGAAGCACCAATAGCACCAATAGCATCCAAAACAGGGAAAACAGCCTATGCGGAAGTGACCCTAGTTACTGACCAAGGGCTGTTTTCCCAGTGACCAGAACACATTTCTGTGTTCCTTGTCACACCACAACCCAGAGATGTGCTCCAGCGTCCCTTGCTCATCAGCTGTGCCCCCTTTACCCCCAACAACCAAAAGGAGGTCAAAAAAGGCTCAGAGGTTCGTATCCCGGTCCCCCCACATCCTCAGCTGTTTTGTTCTGGAGGCATTTTGTTCTCCACAACATCCTCAGCCATTTTGTTCTGTAATGAAGTTGGGAGCAGGGCATGAGCCAAAGGTCCAGCTTAAACCCTTCAGAGGCCTCTGCTTTGATTGGAATGCTCCACTGGCAAAATAATTAAATTTCATCTCACATCCAGGGGTGAAAATAACTTCATTTTTTCGTTTTTTGTTTTACTGACGCTAGCTCAGAGGGCTTGAAGCAGATAACAAGAGGTTAGCAATTTAGCTGCTTTCTTACCAGTACTCCGTACTGGCCTGTGCCCGCTTACTTTCACCCCTGCCCATAACCTTCTCTCTCTCTCTCTCTCTCTGCTGTCAAGTCACAGCTGACTTATGGTGACCTGGTAGGGTTTTCAAGGCAAGAGACGTTCAGAAGTGGTTTGCCATTGCCTACCTCCGCATTGCCACCCCGGTATTCATTTGAGGTCTCCCATCTAAATACTAGCTGGGGCTGACCCTGCTTAGCTTCCAAAAACTGACAAGATCGGGCCAGCCTGGGCTGTCCAGGTCAGGGATTCTTACCCCTGGGGAAAGTTCATATCTACTCAGTTTTGCCTTTGAAAATGCAGAGGTTCTCCAGCTTGCACACGGAGCGTGTCAGTGACTTTGATTCGCAGAAGAGCATCAGCGTGGCGGGGGAATCTTTTGACTGTCCTCATCGTGAATGCCTGTCCTCTCCTCTAGGAATTTGCTGCACTTACGAAGGAGCTGAACTTGTGTCGGGAGCAACTGTCTGAGCGCGAGGAGGAGATCTCCGAACTGAAGGCCGAACGGAACAACACACGGGTGAGCAGGGCAAGGGCTAGGGTTGTCAGGTGTCCCCCCCCCCTTCGAGTCAAAAGAACAGTTATCCACCAGCATAACAAGCTGACCTGGTGGCTGTTGTGGTGCTTCAGCTGTGAACTGGAGTGGGTACTGTGCACCCCTTATTCTTGAGAACCAGTCCGTAGGTTCCTAGGTTCTGTTCTAGGACGAAACCTCAGTAGTCATTCCTAGAAAAATATGCTTGCAGAGACTGGAAAAATGATCCTTTTTTTGAGCAGAGGACACCAGTGCAAATGAGCTACTGCCTTACTTCACACTTGCCAGGGCTAAGTTCTGGCTTTGAAAACACATTTCTGGGCTAATCTACATCAAGCCCTTACCCAGAGTACAGAAGCTGGTCTCAACTTCGGGCCTGGACATAGTTCAGCCAGAAGTCTCTGTGTGTCGCTATCTTTAGGTTCCTGTTCTCTGACCTTCCTGGAGTTGTGGTAATGAAATAATTTTTAATTCACTCTGCACACTACAGTAATGCCATGGAAACAATTGAGGATCAAATTTGGACTTTAGGGCTGCAATCCTAAGCGTGCTTACTAACAAGTGCTACCACACTTCTGAGTGTATTTTTATTTGTTTGTTCATTTATTCTCCACTTTTCCCCCCAATGGGGACCCAAAGTGTCTTACAACATTCTCCCCTTCATTTCATCCTCACAAGAACCCAGTGAGGTAGGTTAGGCTAAGCATAATGTGACTGGCCCAAGGTCACCTAGCAAGCTCTGTAGTAGAGTGGGGATTTGAATACGGGTCTCTCAGATCCTAGTCTAACCCTTACACTACATCGGCCGTCCACCTCTCCACATGCTGAAGATCCTTAAGTGAATCCATAAGAAACCTTTCAATGTCTTGGGGCTCAGTCACCTGCCCATAGAACCACACACCTCTGAAACTGACTCACAGTGCCATCTTAAGCAGAGATAACACTCTTCTAAATGCCCATAGAACCACACACCTCTGAAACTGCAGTGCCTCGATGAGGCACATGTTTGTATATGACTCACAGTGCCATCTTAAGCAAAGATAACGCTCTTCTAAGTCCACTGTAAGTCAGTGGACATAGAAAGGAGTAACTCTGCTTAGGACTGCATTGTTGGTGTGTTTTCTGTCCTTTGGAACTGTTGATGACTGAAAGATTCACAAAGGTCTGCCTGTCTCTTGCTAGAGCTCCTAATGGACATATGCATCCTCTGTGGTAGGAAAGTGGTGTCTTCTACCACTCAATGCTGAATTTTAACATATCTTTATTTTGTTTTTGTGTGTTTATTAGATTTCTGCAGCTGTCTGTTATTTTGATGTTCCTCAAGGGTTTTTTTCCCTGCTAAAATGGGAGCGTTCCTTTCCCATTTTCCTGATACAGACCACCTAGGGATGCCAGGTCCCACCACAGCAGGAGAATTTTTTTGTCAAAAAGTTGGGTCCCACACAGCATGGTGTCACTTTTTTTGTATTTTTGCATTTTTGTGTGCGTGTGCACGCGTGCCTGTGTCTGGAAGTCCTGGTGACTCCTACCAGGCACGGAGGACATTCAGAGAAGTGGCTCCATCATCTGCCTCTGTCCTCTCGGCCCTGGTATTCTTTGGAGGTCTCCCATCCAAATACTTGCTAGGATTGGCCCTGCTTGGCTTCCAAGATCTGACAAGATCGGGCTTGCCTGGGCTATCCAGGTCAGGGCAGCATGATGACACTTCTGAGGAAAACCCAGAAGTGATGGCACGTCACTCTAGGAATCTTTGAAAACTCTATGGTTTTACCTAGAGCAACATGATATCACTTCTCTTTTTCCCCCAGAAGTAACCTTACAATGCCAGTGCCTCTCCATGTCCCACCCACCCCCAGCTCTTGGCAGTTGCCACGCATGGCTTGGCAAACCTAAGCCCACTTTTGCATAAGTTGGCAAAGTTCTCTTTCTCTTGTACCTGCTCGTGCATGCCCCACAATACTATACATGGGGCAGGTAGCCAATTGGAAGAGAGCAGGGGAAGCCATTTTAGGGGTGTTGGTGCTGTGGCGGTTGTGTTGCCTGATCTCCTTCTTCAGCTGCTTGCTGCTCTACCATCTCTCTATCAGCCCCTGAACTACTTTGTCTTGTCCGTCTCTCTCAGCTACTTCTAGAACATCTGGAATGCTTGGTGTCTCGACACGAACGCTCCCTCCGCATGACGGTGGTGAAGCGCCAGGCCCAGTCACCGGCTGGCGTCTCGAGTGAAGTCGAAGTCCTGAAAGCCCTCAAGTCTCTCTTTGAACATCACAAAGCCCTGGATGAGAAGGTGAGGGAAGAGTGGGAAGACTGATGTCAAGACAAGAGTTGGGCTTAGGAACTTGTCCCAGGTTGTCCTTTGAGAGGAAAAACCCATACAGTACGGGAGTCCATAAATTCTCTCAGTGTCTGGTAGTTTTGCTGTTGGGGGGGAGTGTTCAGAAGCCAATTTTGGGCTTTGCTTCTGGTACTGGGGAGCTGGGCAAGATGTGAGGGGCACAAAAATCCTAAGCCCTGTTGCCTCAGATACTAAAATGCCAAGACACCCAAATGCCAAACAACTTTTCTGCTGATGCCAGAGGGCTCCATCTGATCCTGGAAATGGCTATGCTTGGGGATCCTAGACAAAATGCCATGCAGGACAGGACAGCAGTGAGAAGAAGAATTGGTCAGAATCACCCATCTTCTCACAGCAAAAGAGTCGGTTAGGATCCAATCCCATGGAATTTGTACGGCCTGTGAGGAAACAGAACCAGTGTCAGGAACCCTCCCCTAATTGTTGGGCTACTTGTGAGGAGAATACAGTGCTTCTTTAAGAAGGCAGTGATGCTTTGGTTGTGCTAAACAAACGTGTGTACCACCCTGCCAACAGACACACACACACACAAAGAGGCAGTGATTGTGGGGCTAAAGAACTTGGCTGTTCCTGCACTACTCAGCCGACGTTAACTCCTCTTCATCTCTCTCTGGTACATGGCAGGTTCGAGAGCGGCTGCGTGTGGCATTGGAGCGGGTTGCTGTATTGGAGGAGGAGTTGGAAATGTCCAATCAGGAGGTATGTAGCAGATCACATGAGTCTGAGAGCTGCAGAGCTGTGGTAGGTGCCCGGTGCGAACGTCCACATGACCCTGAGTCAAGACAGTCTAAACAGTGTAGGTCGGTGATTTCTAACTGGTGAGGGGTTGAGACCAACAAGTGGAACATGGGGACCTGTGGTGGATTTGACTTGCCAGGTGATGTGTAGAACTGGTGCTGAACTGACACCAAATTCTCTGAGTGGGTTGCCTCAATAAAGAAAAAAAAATGTGTGGCTGTAAAATCACACAGATTCTGTGACCCTTGAATTAAACTTTGGTGTGGTCAGAAGGGATTGCTGGAGTAAAGAAAATATGAGACCCTCCATGCCTTTTGCTGACAGATGTTTGTGTGTACGTGTGTGTGCTTGTAAGCCTGGAAGTCATGGTGACTTCTGGCAACCCCTAGTGGGGCTAGGACATTTCAGAGAGATGGCTTGATAACTTGCCTCTGAGTCCCGGCTCTGGTATTCCTTGAAGGTCGCCCTTTCCAAGTACTTGCCAGGGTCGGCCATGCTTAGCTTCCGAGATCTGATGAGATCAGGCTTGCCTGGGCTATCCAGGTCAGGGCCCTGACAAATCTTTTGAAACAGCACAATAGCCAGAGGTAATAATGGCCTTAAAATCCCACAAACTGTAAAGGTCTCCCAGTGCTTCTGAATTAACTATTTTGACCCAAGTCCTTTGCCACCTGCCTCTCTCATTCCATAATGTCCTTTTCGTTTTAAATATTTGTACATGCTCTTTCTTTATTTCTTCCCTTCTCGTCTGCAGTCTCTGTCTCTTCGAGAGCAGCTTGCCCGACGTCGATCTGGCCTAGATGACCCTAGCAAAGAGGGCGATGCCCAGATTTGTGTAAGTAATGTGGGAAGGGAAACTGGAAGGGAGAGCAGGGCTTTTGCCATGGAAGAAGGAAGGAAGGAAGGGCTGAGATCTGATTTGGAAGCTTGCCTGTCTTTCCAAAATAGGATGAGTGGAGAACCATAGCAGGCTGAACCCCCAAAATATAGTATGTGTGTTTTCACCTTTGAATCGGCAAGTCCACCCCTACCGAGCCAGCAGGTTTCTAAGCTAGAATGGGATCAACCCATTTGTGTTTCAGTTTCCATGGGGTGTGGTTGCCAGTTCTGAAGAATCCAGAAGACATTTTTGTAGAATTGGGGGTATCCAACTAACTAGGGAGCTGCGGTGGCTCAAGTGGTTAAGACGCTGAACTGCAGGCTGTGGAAGGTCGGTAGTTCAGCAGTTCGAGACCCGAGTGCCGCATGATGGAGTGAGCTCCCGTCTCTGGTTCCAGCTCCTGCCAACCTAGCAGTTCGAAAGCAAGAAATTGCAAGTAGATAAATAGGTACCACTTCGGTGGGAAGGTAACAGCGTTCCGTGTGCCTTGGTGTTTAGTCATGCCGGCCACACGACCATGGAAACGTCTTCGGACAGCGCTGGCTCTTTGGCTTTGAAACGGAGATGAGCACCGCAACCCTAGAGTCGGATTCGGCTGGCTTTGGAGCAAGGGAACCTTTACCTTTTTAACCAACTAGAGAACATTGTGGTTTACATGGGGAAGTAGAAAAAGATCACATGGTTGTGAGTCAGATGCATGGGAAGGAAAGCACGGGTGACGCTTGTGGCCTGTGGACGCACATGAAGCTGCTTTGTACTGAATCAGACCCTCATTCCATCAAAGTCAGTATTGTCTACTCAGACTGGCAGTGGCTCTCCAGAGTCTCAGGTGGAGGCCTTTCACATCACCTACTCCCCGGTCCTTGAATTGGAGATGCTGGGGATTGAACTTGGGAGTTTCTGCATACCAAGCAGACGCTCTACCACTGAGCCACGGCCTTTCCCTATCATAATGTCTTTCCTCTCCAGGCCAATGGATCAGGCTCCCTCGACTTGGGACGCGGCGGTCGTGAATCAGAGCTCGAGGAGGTCCTGGAGCGCCAGCGAGGAGAGCTCTCCCAGCTGAAGGAACGACTGACCATGCTGTGCCGGCAGATGGCTGAGCTCGAGGAAGAGCTGGCCACGGCCCAGCGGGATCTCATCAAGTCTGAGGAGATCAATGCCAAACTGCAACGAGACCTCAAGGAGGTAACGACGGAGCCTAAGTCCATTTCCTACAAACAGACAGTCTTTTGAGATACTCGTCGGCTACCAAAACCTCTCTCCTTCCAGCAGCTTTGCCATTGTAACAACTTCTAAAGGACAGTCCAGGAAAGGTCATTAGGAAAGGTAACCCAGGGTGAAATGAGATGTGATGGAAAAGATTTGTGATTAGGGTAGCTTGGATTTTATTTAAAGCTAATTAGCAGCTCTGTGCAGCTGCTTAAAAGAGTGAGGAAAGGCCTTTGTGAGGGGGATTTAACCCTTTCCTCTTGTGCCTCTTCCACAGTTTTCTGTGCAGAGACAGATTAAGTGAGTGGGGCTGCTGAAATGGTGGGAAAGACATGGGAGGAAAGGGTAAAAATTCTCTCCCACAGATACCTTCCCCTAATCATCAACTGCACGGGTCTACTAATTAGCTTTCTGGCTGCCCCATTGTGATAAAGGATCATCCAATTATGTGAATAGAAAGAAATTATTCTCTCTGAGAACTGTAGAACTGCAAAATTTATTGACGTCATCTAACTAAATTGTCTGAAAATAGGTCTGGGGAAAACAAAAGAAAGCATTTGCGTTATCTATTTACCACATTATGTTCTGCCTTTCGGCCGTAGGCTTTAAAGAGGACTTGCCCTGCAATGATAATAACAGTAAGAGAGTAACACAAACACCAGCAGATAAAACTAGAAGCGGATCAGCCAAGCGCACTGGAAGTTGTTGAACGCCAAAAGAACTCTCTTTACCGGGTTTCCCCAAAGTCACCATTGTATGTGCCACCTGAACAGGGAGGAAGTCTCACTGATCAGGTAGTGCAGAAAAGAGGCTAATCCTCTGAGACACCTGTCTCACCTCCGAAGGCTGGTACCCCCAGAGTCAGGCTTCCAACGAAGGCCTTAACAGCTGGGCAGGTTCATATGGGAACCGGTGGCTCTGCGTGCAGCAACCGTTTCCACATCAGCAGAGTACCACCTCACACACACTGAGCTCGCTCTATCTTAGGTGCGTGTGAGGCACGCAACAGGTTGTTTCCTTCCCAAATGAGCAAGTGAGGGATCTGCGCTGGAGTTTCTCGTGTTTCATGGTAGTAGGAGGGAGAGCAAGATCCGTGGCCTGCTCAGCATCACCTCTTCATTCTTCCCTTCTCTCACGTGGTGGGGATAATAGGCGTTAGCCCAGCGGGAGGACATGGACGAGCGGATCACCACGCTGGAGAAACGCTACCTGAGTGCGCAGCGGGAGGCGACTTCTCTTCACGATGTCAACGACAAACTGGAGAATGAGCTGGCCAGTAAGGAATCCCTGTATAGACAAGTGAGTCCCTGGTTCCTGACTGCCTTTCCCTTCCTCTTGTCCTGTACCGCATAGACCAGAGGTGCGAACTTCATTTATTATGAGGGCCGGGTCTGACATAAATGTCACTTTGTTAGGCCAGACCATGTGTGCCATAAAACGTAATGCCAAGTACTGGGGATATAAACTGCATAAAGGACAGTAGCTGGTAAGCTCTGAGTTGGTATATCCTCACTGCAAGGCTCCCTAAGGTGTGTGTGTGTGTGTGTGCAAAGGAAAACTGATATGGGCAGACTGGGGAGCCAGCGATGCAGCACTGGGCAGACACTCCCACACTGCTTGAACTGCTGCAGACAAGGTTGTTCCGCCATGCTGAAGCCACAATCGGAGTGGCTCCACCCACTCCCCCCGAGCAGTCTCCTGTTCCCTCCCTTGCACTAGCTGCTCGCGGGTCCCATAAAAGCCCTGGATGGGTCAGTTCCGGCCCCCGGGCCTTATGTTTGACACCTCTGGCATAGACAGATTACCTTGGCTGCTCCCAGCACCTCCCTGCTATCATCTGGCTGTTCCAAGCACCCTCCCTCAGCCTTGCCATTTGACTGCGGCCATCTTAGCTGGCATCACATCCTTTGAACTTTTATAATATTCAGAATGCCAGTATGCAGCTACCAATGGCTGTCTCTAGTCGAGCTGCTTCTCAGTCACTTGCCAGCTCTTCTGATAGCTTCCTTTTGTAATCTTCACTTATCTTGGCTTGGGAAGTCTACTTCCTGCTTATTCTATCCTCCTCCATTGCTGCACAGGAGATTAAGACTGGCTTATCCCCCCCTGAACCCATGTTAGCCCTGGCTTTTAGTTCCCCCATACTGCAGTTCACTGCTGGGAGGTAGTTTGGGGTCACTGCCTAGATTCGTTCCTTGACGAGGCCGTTTTCCCCTCTGAGCAGAGTGAAGAAAAGAACAGGCAGCTACAAGACTGGTTGGAAGATGCCAAGCAGAAGCTTCAGCAGACCCTGCAGAAGGCTGAGACCTTGCCGGAGATAGAGGCCCAGCTGGCCCAGCGAGTGGCCGCCCTCAACAAGGTGCTGTGCAAAAGGGGAGGGAATTCTCTGTGCTTTGTAAGGAACAGAAGACGTAGGAGATGTCTTCCAAAGTCAGAAATAGGGATGAACATAAGTAGAGCCTGCTGGATCATCTGGTCCAGCATCCTGTGTCACACAGCGGCCAACCAGTTGCCCTGAAGGGCCAACCAAAGAGGCCGAGGCCCTTCAACTGATGTTGTCTCCTGGCACTGGTATTCAGAGGTCCCCTTTACTCACCATGGCTCCATAAATCTGTCTAACCCCCCTTTAAAGCCAGATGAAACTGGGGGAAGATCACAACTGGTACAAGAGTCTGTCAGACAAAAGGTGGCCAGGCTTACCCTTTTCTTTTGTCCCCCTCTCTAGGCGGAAGAGCGCCATGGGAATTTTGAGGAGCGCCTGCGTCAACTTGAGGCCCAGTTGGAAGAGAAAAACCAAGAGCTCCAACGGGTGAGGGCCTGATGGGAAATGAGGATGGAGTTAGGTGGGTGCCAGGAGGAGACGGAAAGAGCTGCAAGTGGTATGTTTTGAGGGAACGGATTTCTCCAGTTGGGCCTCTCCTTTGGCTGCACAGTATGCCCGGGAGAGAGAGAAGCTTCTCTTGGGGAGAACAGCCAAGAAGATAGATGGCAAATGTGAACTGTTAGCTAGCAAAGCAGGCCTTTGGTTTGGAGACTAAGGTCCAAATGCTTCCTTAGTCATAGTGGAGAGGCTTGGGCCTACCTGTAGGCCTGCCCAGTCTCTATTTGCCCATCTGTACCGTGGTACTCTATTTCACATGGTTCTTGGGTGTATGAAGACAGTAAGACACTGTGGGAATGAACATAGTAGGAGGAGAGGAAGGAGGAAACTGAATGTGAATAGGAGGAGATGCTGGTAAAGCAGGGAAGGTTTCTGGCTGGTGACCGGGAAAAGCAAAGCAGGGGGAGTCCAGGTGCTGGAGAAAAGACTGCCCACATAACCATTCACATTTTCTGCACCCTCCCTTAAAAAACAGGCACGCCAGCGGGAGAAAATGAATGACGAACACAACAAGCGCCTCTCGGAGACAGTGGACAAACTGCTGTCGGAATCAAATGAGCGTCTCCAGTTGCATCTCAAGGAGCGAATGGGGGCCCTGGAGGAGAAGGTAGGAGAGTTTGTGTGTGTGTGTGTGTGTATTTATGCATGTTGTGGGAAACGAGAGCAACTCAGGGTTTGGGGTGTGATGTCCTTCAGAGCATGTTTGCGTCCCTGCGGCCCCTGTGCCTGTCAGCAGTGGAGAACCATGTATGCAGCCATGTATTTCTTGGAGGAAGTTGGGATAAAAATGTACTAGATGAATGGTGGAATAAGAGGCAGAAGGTGGCCTTATATGAAGTGCTACCTTACCTGTCGGCCGGGAAAAAGTGGAAGTGAATATAGACTAGGACTCAGGTGTCTGTTGCGATTCTAGGGGAGGCTTTGGCGGCAGGTGGGGTTGTTTGTGACCCACCCAAGCAAGTGCAGAGAAACAAGGCTGATGGATCTTCCTTCTCACCTGTATCTGACCAAGTGAGGTTTGACTCACAGAAGCCAGAAAACGTTGTTGGTTTTTGAGGGGCTTCTGGACTCAAATTTGGTTCTGCAGAGAAGAGGTAGCTGTGTAAAGCAAGCAAAGGAGCTGGGATGACACAGGACTCTTCTTTCTATGCTCGCCTACCCTGTAATGTGGCCGTGGTCACTTAGCAGAGAGGAAAGCGAACCTGGCTGGAGACCATCGGGGGGGGGGCAGCTTGAAAGGAAGGAAATACAAACCTGCAGGCTTTCAGGAACATCCTGTCGGGAGTCCTGTGGGTGGCGGCCTCGCTCTCATTCAATTGTTCTTCCTTCCTTCCCCGGCAAGAACACACTGAGTGAGGAAATTGCCAACATGAAGAAAGTTCAGGATGAACTCCTGGCGAACAAGGTGAGGCCCGTGGCAGACGGCTGGGGGTGAGCGGTGGAATCCAAAAGAGAGGGTTTTGCTAAATTTGGGACGGGGGAGAAGGTGCAGAGGCAGGGAAGTTTCTAAAAACAGGCAAAGGGTTATGATGGGGGGGGGAGGGTCTGGAAACCTAGGTTCTGATTCTGACAGTCTCCTTTGCACGTGCATGCCAGGAACAACTACTGGCAGAGATTGAGAGGATGCAAATGGAAATCGACCAGCTACGTGGACGCCCGGTCTCTACTTACTCTCGGTAAGAAAACTTCTTCTACCCGTTAATAATAAAGAACTAGTCTAGGGTCTCCTCTCCCCTCTTGCATGTGAATTTCTTAGAAAGTAGTAGAAGAGATTCTTAGAACACCCCTGTCGGGCAGATCACCCCTGTTCCTTGCTAGTTGTGGCGCTCCTCCCCACTCTGCTTGTGTGTCAGGAGCCCAGCAAATTGTTTTCTTGTACCCAGCATTTTGAATGACTGTATGGCTTTTTCAGTGTAGAGCAGGGGTCCCCAAACTTTTTTGAGCCTGTGGGCACATTTGGAATCCTGACACAGCATGGTGGACGCAGCCACAGAATGGCAGCCACAAAATGGCCACCACGGGGGGCAGAGCCAGCCACAAAATTGCTGCTGCAGCTTCCCTACAGTCACGCGGTGACCGTCTTTGTCTTGCGGTGGCAGCTGCTTCCAAGAGACATTTTGATAAGCCTGCACAACCAATCAAAACTCCAGTGGCCAATCAGAAGCCTTACTGGGCAAAAGCCCCACCTGGTCTTGCCCACATTCCAAAAATACTTGTTGGGCACCAGGAAACATGTCGGCGAGTTGCCATGGTACCCGAGGGCACCCCGTTGGGGACCCCATGGCATAGCGGGTGTGTGTTGGGAGCAGATCGTGCTTGCTGGGAGCAGAGCAGGATGAGCAGGAGGGAGACCCCTTGATCAAATGTAATAGAGGTTAAATTGTTGGATTAGGACTGGGGAGAGTCGGGCTCAGGTCTCCACACTGCCGTGAAGCTTGCTGGAGGACCCTGGGCTCATCACCATCCCTCAGCCTCACCTGTCTCACTGGGTTGGCAAGATGGGGGAGGAGAGAAGCCCTGTACACTCAAGCTCCTTAGAGGAGGGACAGAATGAAAAAGCTACTAGGTAGGTCCTCCCCTCTTCTACCCGACCACTCTTGCTCACGGTCTTGTTTTTCCTGCTCCACGGAGGTCTCTGCCGGGCAGCGTGCTGGAGCTGCGTTACTCCCAGGCGCCGACGCTGCCCGTGGGGGCCCACGTGGACCATTATAGCAGTGCTGGCGTGGCAAGACGTTCAAAGAAGGGTCGCTGGTCCGTCAAGGATGAGGCCACCAAGGTATGAGATTGCTTTGTTTGGGCTTGATCTGGGGTTATAAGGGAGAGAGGGAACAATGGGAAGGAATGAGAGTGTCATGTCAAGATGGTATCGCTGAAGTCCAATTCTTGCAGCATTCCGTTAGGAGAGAGTCTGGGGACGGAGCCAGTCCTTACAAAGGACGCGTGGCTGCCACCGAAACCAGCAACCCCATATCTGATTCTCCCTGGTAATGTTTAGTAGCAGAACAAAACATGTGGTGTGACTCATCATCATGTTCTGAGTTTTCTTACCCCCAACAAGTGCCAGCCAATGAAGTGGAGCCGGGGCAGGAGAACGCGGAACAGGAGAATGTCCCATGATGCATTTTGTATCACTAGATGTTACCAGAGAGTTATGGGTAAGATCAGGCTTGGGGCTGCTTATCCGGTCAGCAGTTGCGCGTCCTCCGTGATGTCTAGTTCTGGCACAGATGGGAAATGGGGAAAAAGATAATCACAGAACTGAGAAAGAAGGGGAAATTGCCTGTGGCGATTGTGGCTCCGAAAACAGAATCTTGGAAATTCATGAAGAATGCTAAAAGGAGAAAGTTTCTAGCCTTTGGAGGGAGAAACCATTGCTTAGAAACCAAGAGGTGTCCTGACAGCTGCAGATGGGACTTCCTTTTCAGCCCTTCTTTATAGACCTCAACCTGATCCCAAGCGCTTCCACAATAGACTTATCTTCTTCGTGGTCTCTGTCCATCACACCTATGGGATCTAGTGTGCCTGCGCTGATCTGATTGGTGTTGTACAAAGTTCACAACGGGATTTTCGTGCCTCCACCCTGAGCCTGCGCAGGAACCCCAACTGCGCATGCCCAGGGGGGGTGGAGCGCGGACATTCTGCCAGTTCTCCTCTGACCACCGCGCTGTTAGCAGCTTTCCTCGGTTGGTGCTTGTTCCTATTCTCCTCACTTTGGGAATTCTTCGTTTTTCTTCTTCCATTGGATTATTTCTCAGAATATTGGATTTTTTGTCAAGAACTGTTAGAGGAGGGTGAGAACTTTCCGTGGTCTTCGGACCATCAACCCCCTCCCCTCCCCTTCTCCCCTCACGTCTGAGGAACTGTTTATGGATAAGAAGTGGGGGTGTTTTAAGAGGTGTGCCTCGTGTGGGAGTAAGTTAGCTCCGCGAGACGGACACACACTCTGTATAATTTGTTTGGGTGAATCTCATGGTCTGGAGGGTTGTGCTTTCTGCACAAAATTTTCAAACCAAACATGCAAAAATAGAGCAGCAAGGTTGAAAGTCACCCTTTGGGAATCGGCCCTTGCTCCTCCGTCTTCAACTATGTCGACCGAACTCCCTCAGAAGTCATCGGTATCGACAGATCCCCCACCGAAACCATCGACGTCGACACCAGGATCCACGGATACCCTCTCGACACCGAGACCACCTCGACCAGTCAAATCTGCTTCTGATACGGGGCCAGCCCCCTCCAAGAAGCGCTCTTCCAAGTCTGCTTCTTCTGCCTCGACACCAGTGAAGAAACAGAAGAGGAATAAGTCGAAGAAACACACCTCCCACAAGTCGTCCACTGGGAACTCGCATAAGTCTCACAAGGTGAGCAGCATAGTACTCCCTAAGGGCTCTGCGCTGCCAACAGTATCGCAGTCGCACTCCCTATCGACGCATCAGTCCGTACTGGAGCTGCTGGATGTACAATCGATGCCACCGATTGAAATTCTTGACTCTCCAGTCAGGCAGCTGAACCCTCCGGTACAAGACATGAACCTTGGACGACGCTCCCCATCTGTATCAGCTTCTGAAGCCAAAGGTGAAGTAATAGCGGCTTCTGGTGTTGGCCGATGCTCTATGTCTGCTTCCTCCTGAACCAGCAGTCGTTCCGACCCGGACCGTCGATATCGACCTTATGACCGATCCTGTTCTCCAGTCTGCGTGGATGATCAAGGTCAATGGGATGAATATACAGCCCGTCTTGATTGGCACCACTCATCCCGATCACCAAGGAGGGATTATTTGCCCAAGCCAGCTTCAGGTCAGGGCTGTCCTTCCCATTACCAACATCACTCATTGATGCTTCCCTCATGGGATCATCGTCATCACATGCCGTACTGGTTCTCTTCCTACCCTCTTTCAGCATCGATGCCTTGGCTAACGCCTATGAGACCGGAGGATTGGGACCACCATTCGACCCTACCCTGCTCTCCATGTCGTCCACCACCCTCCACATCCCTCTCCAAACCACCGAAATCTCCTCCTCCGAGGCAAGTCACGCCTCATCTTCCGCCTCCTTCACCACCATCATCAGTTACTCCAAAGGAGCCTCATACACTGCCAATTCCTATCCAGAGGTCTCCATCGCCTTCTGAGGCCTCTCCAGTTGCTTCCGATGTCGACAGGGAGATACCTCTCCAAAACATAAGTCTCCGAAGACCTCCCAATCTCCCCATCTGAGGACTTGTCTTCTTATAGAGATTTAGTCAAAAGAATGGCTCATTCATTGGGTCTGTCTATCATCCAACCTCAACCATTGATATCGGATGCAGTTTATGATGTCGTCCAGATGGACACGTCCACAGCGATCTCCCTTCCAATGTTGAAAGTACTCCTATACGCGGTGCAGGTGCCTTGGGAGAAGCCCTCATCTGCACCGGTGTTGACATGGAGACTGGATCACATGTATAGAGTGCAAGAGGAAGGAGCTGGTTTTCTACATGCCCATCCAAAACCAAACTCCATGGTTGTCTCTTCTTCCAGAACTAGACGCACTCATACGACGCCCTCTGACAAGGAAAGCAAGAAGCTTGATGCTTTCGGGAGATGCTTTTACTCAGCGGGTGCCTTGGGAATCAAACCATCCAATTACATCGCATGTATACCAGTATGCGTTATGGCAACAACTTTCTGACATCTTGCCCTTTCTTCCTGAGGACAAAACTTAAGCAGTCTGAACCCTACAAAAGGAAGGCAAGGTTCTGGCGAAGCAGCTTCTGAATTCGTCTAAGCACTCACTGGATACTTTCTCTAAGACTATATCTTCAGCGGTTGCCCTTCATAGGCACTCCTGGCTGAGAATGATTTCTTTGCCACCTGCACCAGGGCGTACATAAAAGATCTCCCCTTTGACGGTGATGGCCTGTTCCACTCCTCTACTGACTCTGCTCTGCAGGAGATGGACAAGAGCATAAAGGTCTCTAGGTCCTTGGGCATTTCTGCTCCTTCCAAGCCATACTGCCAGCTTTCCTGGTCTCGATACAGTTCCAAACGCCCATTTAACAAACCATCCCCAGAGGGTACCTGGAGACCGCATCAGTCACCTACGGGCCATCGGCAACAGTACCAGTACCCTGCACGGTCCAGATATGGCCCACAACAGCAACAGTTTAGCACAAAACCTCAAAAGACTTCCAAACAGGGTCTTTGACTTGCCCCAGATTGCTTCAGGGGCCTCCACCCACCTTTCCCCATTCCTATCTGGATGGCGGGTCATCACTACAGACAGTTGGGTTTTATCCATCCTAACCCACGGTTATTCAATAGAATTTGTGGACTATCCAATACTGCCTGTTTTCCTGGCCACCCCTCCCTCTCCCCTCCTTCTCTAGGAGGTCACTTCTCTCTTGGTGAAAGATGAGGTAGAACTGGTGCCAAAGGCGTACGGGGGAACAGGTTTTTACTCCCGTTACTTTACCGTTCCCAAATGAGACGGGGGCTTGCACCCAATTTTAGACCTACGGGGCCTCAATGTCTTTGTGGAATACCGCAAATTCAAAATGACATTGTTGCGAGTAATCCTCCCTCTTCTGGCTCGGGGGTCCTGGATGGCAACTATCGACCTCCAGGATGCGTACTTTCACCTCAATATCCATCCGTCTCATCGAAAGTACCTCCGATTCACCATAGGGGACCTCCATTTCCAGTACTAGTGTCTCCCATTCGGCCTCTGCATGGCGCCAAGGGTCTTCACCAAGACGATGGTAGTGGTGGCGGCCTATCTTCGTCTACAGGAAATTACCATCTTTCCCTGTATAGATGATTGGCTCTTAGTGGCAGATTCCTCGTCGCTCCTGGAGAATCACATTTCCCAGACACTCTACATCCTGTCCTCCCTGGGCCTCCAGGTCAACTTTCAGAAGTCTCACCTGCAACTCTCACAGAGGATACAGTTCTTTGGTGTGGTTCTCGACTCCATGACATGCAGAGCTTACTTTCCTGCAGACGGAGCGGCTACCCTGTCGTCTCTCACAAAGGAAGTGCGTAAAAGTACCTCGTCCATGGCTTTTCCAATCCAGTGTCTGTTGGGCCACATGTCAGCCACTACAGCCATACTTTGGTTCGCCAAGCTGCACATGAGACCTCTGCAGATGTCATTCTTGCAATGCTTCAAGCCAATCTGCATGAGCCACCGTCCATCTCCTACCCCCACCGAATGTGCGAGACTCCCTATTGTGGTGGTCAGTGGAATCCAACCTGACCCAGGGTGCACCTTTTCAACCACCAAATCTGCATCTCACTCTCACCACTGACACTTCCCTGTGGGGATAGGGAGCCCATCTCAACGGCCTGTGTGTCGGGTACCAGTGGGATGCTCTCAATTCAAAAAAGCACATCAACTATCTGGAACTGCTGGCAATAAATCTGGTGCTGAACTCTTTCCAGCCCATCCTTCGAGGGCATTGCGTAG